TCTTCATCGTCATCCAGTCCCAGATCTTCCTGGTCCCAAGGAAGATCGGCATCACCAGCGTCATCAAAGCCAGCTGCGTCTTCCTCGGTCTCGAGCTGCTTCTGAACAAGAAAACTAAGACTTTCGTTGTTGTCACGGGGAGTGTCCTCTGACTCTACGTTCATTTTATTCATGAACATGAGACCTCCAAAGCCAGGACGATTGAAGATGGATTGCTTGGCCTGGCCTGGTTCTTTGACACCATCATCGGTATCATCATCATACATTGCCTTTCCTCCTTCATCAAACTCATCCTCGTCCTCTTCATTGAAGACATCTAGAAACTCTGGTTTATCAGACATTCCATTGTCCTGTTTGCGAAAGACGACGTTCCCATCTCCTCCTGACCTCTGCAGAGTTCCCTTGTCTTTCTTTGCTAGCTTCTTCAGGAGTGTACCTTTGAGAGATCCAACTTTATCCACAGCAGTAAGCTGGGAGAACTGCTCGTTGACGCCGCTCATGAGCTCTTCGTTTGTGTGTGTCGATCCCACGCTCGCCTCGGACACCGAGCCACGTTGTAATTTGTCCCTCTTGCTCTGGTGTCTCTTCTTTACCTTCTCGCAGAGTTTCATTCGCCTCTCTGCCTCTTTCTGAGCCTCCTTCTTCAGGCTGGCAACCTTTTTCGGGTGTTGGTTGGTTTGTTGTGCCGCAGCATTGTCCAGAAAGCGCACGCATTCCATGTGGCCCCGAGAAGCGGACACATCCATGGCTGTGTGGAAGTCATTGTCCAGGGCAAAGAGGTTGGCTCCAAAGTTCACCAGAAAGCTGAGGATGTGCATGTGGCCGTTATCTGCAGCGAGGTGCAGAGGGGTGTTCCCCCAGATGTCACTCTTGTTGGGATCTCCTCTGAAATACACACACACAAAATGAAATTATGAAATTATTCTCTGAATCACCTTAAACCACCTTGAAGACACTAGATGTGTCAAAATAACGCTCTGTTTGCACATTAAAGCTGAAAACCATCAGTGAGCTTCAGTTTCTTTTTTCTTTTGAAGTGGGGCTTAACTGGCAACCAACACATTTTTAATGAGCTCAAACTATAAATGTGCTTCTGGTTGATAGCTGACTTTATAAAATGGACTGAACCACCTGTTCTGGTTTCTTTTGTCTTATAATTTTTAATTATTTCATATATAACTACCTACAAAAATCCCTTTTTACATTTTCCATAAAGTAATATTTAAAATAGGTCCAAATCATGTAACAA